AAAAAAAAAAATCCTGCACAGCATAAACTGCTGAAATAAGAAATAATCGTGCCATGGGGAAAAATCGAGCAAGTCTTCTCTACTATCATTATTTTGATTTTTAATGTTAAAAAAATTCTTGCACAAGATATTGTCCACCAAAAAAATCATGCATAACCTACAGATGGGAAAAAAATCAAATGCCCCAGAAAATTGCCCAACCCCCCTCCCCTCAAAAAAAAAAATGGTCCGCCCCTAAAAGGAAGTACATCATCTTGCATTGACAATGCACAATCCGGTCGTGGTGCTACAGAATCGATTTCCACTGAGGTTGTTAATGACTAGACACGGATTCACAAATGACGATAAATTCCATTTCAAATCCTTCCACTTCGGACAATCAGTTTAAGGAATTCCAGGCCTTTTGAGAAAAACAATACCTCATGTCCTTTATACACACTCGACGCAATTGAAAAAAAACAAATTTTGAAACGATGATATAAAAGCTGTGATAATTGGTTATAGAAACCGTTCGATATATATTTCGTTCTTCGAGCCTCTTCAATCATCTGCCATATTAAAGCCATCAAATTACTCATGTAATAACCTTTGAAAAAACCCACATTCACTCACTCACGTCACCACATGACATCCTGTCTCGGAGGGAGCGCGGGGCGGCCTAATTGTGTGACTACCATGCGCAGAATTTGGAAAATAGTGCAAGTATATTAGTATAGAACGTGGCCAGTTGCAAGTATGGTTATACTAGGTGACCTACGTGTACTTCATGAAGCTAATTTTACTAGTACTTTGTAACTTTTGATATGTGTTTTTCTCAAATGAATAAAGACATTATTAGTAGTAGTAGTAATAGTAATTGGACCGAGTGGAGTACAATTCAGAGAGAAATCGCGCGAGTAATTTCAAAATCGGACGAGCGCGAAGCGCTCGTCCGATTTGAAATTACGAGCACGATTTCTCCCTAAGTTGTACGGCCGAAGGACCAATTACTAATTAATCGTATCTGTAACAAATTTCAGAACTAAAAGTGTCTTTTCAGAAATTCTTTTGAGCGAACACGTCTGTAGCGCTTTTCATAAGTTTTGAAAACTGTAGGAATTATTGCGAAGGAGGCCATTAAAGCGCGCGTAATTGACGTACGAATAACGTGGGCATCTAATTACAGGTATCAATTAAGTTCAAAGTTCAAATTGCACACCTGTACTTGGACACCCACGTGATCGCGCGCTGATTACGTCACAAATAGGCGCGCGCAGAATCAATCACGATCTAGAATTTTGTTATAGATACGATTATTACTATTATTATTATTATTATTATTATTATTATTATCTATGTACTTGTATCGTCATGTCCTCCCCAATAGCTCTCTTTNGTACTTCATGAAGCTAATTTTACTAGTACTTTGTAACTTTTGATATGTATTTTTCTCAAATGAATAAAGAT